ATATGTATAGCAGCAACACATGGAGGGGGACATAGTTTAATTAAACTATTTGGGCATTTACCTAAAACGAACAATCCTAACAAATGAAAAAATGGACGAATATGAATCAATTGGTTATGTCATTATGTGCTAATAAAACATTAGTTGTAAACATGCTAAAGAAAAATATACATCTCCCGAGTAAACTCACATGAGCAAAATAACAACACTCACAATTAGTTTGCAAAAATTTGCTCAATGAAATTTGAAAGTATGTACTTATAAAAAAATAAAAAAATAACCAAAGCCAAATGGGAGGGAGGAAAACAAGGCATTCATGTCCAGTTCTTGTTGACAACAAATCGTTAAAAAGAGCTCACATAGCAAGGATATTGATGCACACTAGCAAACGTCTAAAATAAAATATATTGCAAACTATTAACATGGACAGCTTCAAAGTCGAAATTAAACATAGGTAGAAAATAAGAAAGATCGGAACTATGTTATAATAAGTGGGGAAAGAAAATTCCACACTATCCAAGGTTCACATTACTAATTCACACAAGAAATAAATAGTTTACTGTAAACTAAGGAAGTAAGATATCATATGAACTTGAGAGACATATTGATAAACAATATAATTTGATCACCATTCTGCGATAAAATCTTTAAGAAAAGTTATTATTTATTTATTTTTAATTCTTAGGATGGACATGACTAATCTTCTTTCAATAATATATGTCGGTAATTCTAACTTGTATTTAACTACAAACACACAAAAACAGAATAACAAGACAAGATTAGCATCCATAAACTTGCTTTTTCAAAGGACCACAAAGAACATTACTAACGCCAAAACAAAATAAATCATACGTATATACTTCACTCTTTCATAAAGGATATCAGATTAGAGAGAAGAAGATGCAAAGCAAAATGAAAGAGTTTTTACCTTGTGTTGAGCAGCAAACTAAAGTTTTTACGTCAAAAAATTCCAACTTCCAACCCTTTTGCAGATTCAAGTTTAAAGCCGAAAACGGAAAGATGAAGGAAGAGAGAAATTTTCTGAAATCTAATGCTTGAAGTGCGTGTTTATTCCCATTTTTCCTTTGTTCTTTGATTTTTCAATTTTTTTCCGGATGTCGTTAGGTCATTCTTTGGGTATGTTTTTTTTAGATTTTGATGTTACTCTTGGTTGATTTTCCGGATGATCCTCGAATGAGGACCAAACTCCTCATTTTATAGTTGGGGGAGGCTTCAATGATTCGAATTTGAATCTTTGAAAGATCAAATCTTAGAAGAAAATAATGATGGAGGAAAGGAAAATATTATCAACCTTTTTCAGATTGATTCGAAAGAATGAGTGATGGCTTGGGGGTTCCAATCTCACAATCATCGGATTAAGGGGATAATGATCCCAAATCCGATGGTCCTTCACGTTCTCCACCTTTTCAGTTGTAGCAGCGGCGGTGGTGGGGCTTTTGAGGTCTGTTTTGGCTCAAAAAAATGATGGAAGGGATGTAAAGTTGACAAGAGGGAAGCTATGATTAATGGAGGGTAGGGAGATATGTTGTAGACCACCGGAAATTGCCATTTTCCGATGGTCCGTAGATACAAACTTCTGGGGAAGAAGGAACTTGGGAAAAGAGAAGCGTGATTGCCTGGGAAAAGAAAGAAGTTTGAGGCGATGGGGAGTTGTACTATCTTTGAAAAGTCTTGATTTAATTTTGGCCGTCCGATCAAGCACTCGGACGGTTAATAAAATAAAGGGTTTTAAAAATAAATAATTATATATATATATATATATATATTAATAATAGTAAAAGGATGGATTAATTAGAGCCAGTAGATTAGATTGTAGGGCCGAGATTGAATCTAAAGAAACACAATCCATGTGCTCACCTACGTGGCATACACGAATTGGTTGGTTTAAGGGGACTTGAATTGTCAAAATTGCTCAAATTAAATTTATTTAAATTATATCCTCTCCTTTTATCAAATAGTTATAATTTATTAAATTAAAAATAATTATTTTGCAAGATTAGCTTGTTTGATAAAATTAGTCACTCTTAAAAATTAAATCAATATAAATTAGTAACTCATTAATTAAATAAGCTTTCTAATTTTAATAAATGTACGAAAAATATCTATTGCGACAAAAGAAATTATATTTGAACACAAATAGATTCAATTCTCAAGAATGACATTTATTTAAAAAATGAGAAAGTAAGTAGTAATATATATATAATATATTTAATTTTTTATAAGAAAATTGAAAATAAATTTATGAGGTAAAAATAAATAATTAGAAATCTTTTCGTGTTCCTATAAAAGTTTCATAACATATTATTATTATTATTATTATTATTATTATTACTATTATTATAGTTAAATGTGGAGAGCTAAAATTGGGTGTCAATAGCTTGCCCCTTTCTTTGTCCATGGAAGAGACTAAATAAGACGCGGACAAAGAAATATTGACACAATCCAATTTTAGGCGACCCACCAAAATACACTTTGAGCAATAACTTGCCTAGAATGCTTATAGAGTTATGGCCGAGCTCTGGCTTTCGAGCTACCTAAATATCCCAGGTTTCATGAGAAATCAGGCCACTGTAGTTCGAGAACATAGCAAATTTTTATTAAAAATTTGCCCCAGTATCGAATTATGGTAATACTGAAATCTTTTGGTGGTAAGGTATGAAGAGATTAGCATGAATAGAGGGATTAAATATAGTTCTAAATAAACTTGAATGAGAAATGCTCCGTAGCAATTTCTAAAGACTTATGGTAGAGAGATGAATTTTCAAAAAGATTGCCCCAGTGTCGAGTTATAATGAACTGAGACATGAGAGAGTTATAAGTAAGACTTAAATCTGAACTTCTGAAAATCGAGTCGAGTTGAGTTTTGAAAGTGAATCATTGACGTAGCTAGTGATGCTTGACATTGCACTAACTTTGCCTAGTTTGCTGCTTAGAGGGAGTTCCTCGTTGTAATGCATTGTCCTGCAAAACATGTAAAAGGGTGAAAAGTACCTATTGCAGTTCAAAAATTATAAATTGAAACAGTAATGTAAAGAGTAGAGTGTAGATGTTCAAACGATTGTTGATGTCTCTTTTTGTATTGTGAATGTGATGTAGGTACAGTAACTTGTAATGTAGAGGCCCTCGATTGGCGGGGTTGTTGTAATGTAAAAGCCTGTATCCGATTGTGTAAAGCTTGTAATGTAAGGCCTCCGGCTGGCGGGGCTATTGTAATGTAAAAGCCTGTATCCGGCTGTGTAAAGCTTGTAATGTAAAGCCTCCGGCTGGCGGGGCTGTTGTAATGTAAAAGCATGTATCCGACTGTGTAAAGCTTGTAATGTAAAGCCTCTGGCTTGCGGGGCTGTTGTAATGTAAAAGCATGTATCCAGTTGTGTAAAGATTGTAATGTAAATTTAATTGTCGGTGTGTGACAGTGTTTCTATGCGTGCTTGCCCCCGATCGATGGAGCTTCAGTGACGTCACTGTGTTGTAGTTTCCGACTGGCGGAGTGTTACTTTTTTTGCCTATATACAGGCTCTGATTGGCGGAGTTCGATCGATGTTTGCTATGTACAGCCTCCGATTGGTGGAGTTTGATAATGTTTGCTATGTACAACCTCCGGGTGGCGGAGTTTGACGATGTTTGTTATGTACAGCCTCCAAGTGGCGGAGTTTGACGACGTTTGCTATGTACAGCCTCCGGTTGGCGAAGTTTGATGATGTTTGCTACAAGCTCCAGTTGATGGAGTTATTTTGACAGAAAATTAAACATCATATTTTCCTACGAGGGCCCTCTTTTCTTCAGTATTTGATCTAGATCTTGAGCGTACCTGCAAAGATTTAAACAAAATATATTTTAGTCATAAGATACAAGTTGAAGTATTTCCGGGAAATGAAGTAGAGAAAGAGTATTTTGGTTCATGATTGTGAGAAATTGAATGGCATTTCCGGTCATGCCCCGAGACTTGATGTTATTTTCTTGATTCATGTGTTCCTGCACTCAAAGAAAATTTTAGTTTGGGAGGGGGTGTTGATTTGCATCGACTTGCGAACTGAAGCCTCATCACTAGAATCCTTCGACACCTCGTCAGTACCGCACATAGTTTCTTATCCTAGAGACTTGGTAGGTGGATGAGTGGAAAAAAATATTTTTTAAAAGAATTATCTTGTTTTTCTAGAAAATAAGTATACTACGTATATATTAGGTATATATATAGTAATTCTCCAGCGTTTTAGATTATGACATGTTCCGAAGTCCATCGAGCTTTTCATTTTGTTGACTATATCCAACGTAGGCCTCTTGTAGCTTTTACCTTTCTGATGAAGCTTTCCTACCTTTTTTGCAGACACTGCGACGATCGATATTCTTCAACTTTCTGAGGTTACACTAGGTATGAGGAATGTTTCCTAAGGGTATGCAGAGAATTGATCGAACCTGACTCAAGCTGCTTAAGTATCATAGGAATCAGATCATAACGTAGTTCGAATACAAGTGGAAGAAATAGAAGTATGTAATGCAATGACCGAGCTTGACTCAAGCTGCCTACTTATCCAAGTGGAATCAGGTCGTAACGTAGTTCGATATAATAGGAAAGTGAAAAATATGACATGTAGTGAACGGGCCTGACTCAGTCTGCCTACGTATCCAAGCGGAATCAGGTCAGGATGTAGTTCAAATACAAAAGGAAAGTGAAAAATATGAAATACAAGAGACCGAATCCGACAAGGATTGCCTACGTATCCCACCGAGGGAATTCAGGTCCAGCGTAGTTCTAAATACATGGAAATGATGATTTGGATTTTCTAGGAGAGACCGGATGTGATGTGGGTTGCCTACATACCCCGCCGTGGGAAGTCAGGTCTAGACGTAGTTCTGTTACATTGAAAAATGCAAAAGTACACAAAATCAGCGCTAATCTTGAGGTCTTCGGATGTAGTATTTCTTGATGGCGTCTAAATTGATTGGCTTTGGCCTTACTCTGCCATCCATTTCTGCTAAGATTACCGCTCAACTGAGAGTACTCTATGAATCATGTAGGGTCCTTGACAATTTGGTGCAAATTTCCCTTTGGCTTCTCCTTGGTGAGGAAAGATCTTCTTCAATACCAATTGCCCCGGTGTGAACCGTCGAGGTTTGACTTTCTTGTTGAACGCTTTGGTCATTCTGTTTTGATAGAGTTGGTCATGACCAACCGCGTCCATCATCTTTTCATTGATGAGCTTCAATTGTTCATGCCTGCTACGTATCCATTCTGCATCGTCCAGACCAACCTCTTGGATAATCCTTAAAGATGGTATTTCCACCTCAACAGGTATTACTACTTCCGAACCATAAACCAACATATAAGGAGTTTCCCCAGTTGATGTTCTGATCGTGGTGCGATAACCAAGTAAAGCATATGGTAGCTTCTCATGCAATTGCTTGTGACTATCCACTATTTTCCTTAGGATCTTCTTGATATTCTTATTTGCAGCCTCAACTGCTCCATTCATATGTGGCCGGTAAACCGTGGAATTTCGATGAGCAATCTTGAACCTTTCACAAGTTTCCTTCATAAGATCGTTGTTGAGGTTGGCTGCATTGTCTGTTATGATTGATTTTGGAATTCCAAAATCGACAAACTATGTTGTTGCGAACAAAGTCTGCCACTACCTTCTTGGTCACTGCCTTGTATGTCGAAGCTTCAACCCATTTTGTGAAATAATTGATAGCCACCAGAATGAAACGATGTCCATTTGATGGAGGAGGCTCTATGGGTCTGATAACGTCCATGGCCCAAGCAACAAATGGCCAAGGGGAACCCATCACATTTAGCTCATT